AGAAAATTAAATCTGACTGTTTGGCAAGAGTGCTAGCGAGGGTATAAACAAGGAAAAAGAATTATCTAAGACAAATATTATTTGATAACTGAAGACTTTAATGAGTAATGGATGAAAAAATACCAAATTCAATAATTAAATCTCGGTGAAATATTTCGAAAATAGCACGTATTTTATTTAAAAAAACCACTAAGATGAAGGAAAACACATTTGTATGTCACTAGCCTTTTTCAACATAATCAATGCGTTGAAATTATCCTTCAACAGTGCATAAACCAATGCAATACTATTAAAGAGTGTAACAAATATATGGGCAAAATTATCGTATGATGGTAAATCGTTTTCAAACAATTCTTTTGCTTGTAAAAGCTTTTCTAATGCTTGAGAATAGTCACTTTTCTTAATAAAACATAGACCGATTGAATATAACGTATTGGCACGTTGAAATTGTGAAAGACCCGGTTGATTATCTAATTGATTTTGAAAATATTTCAATGATGTTTCGGTATCAAATTCTGATCTTTGTCTATAATTCTCATCAATTAGATCTGCTTGTTCCTGATAAATAATGGCATCTTCATAATTATTTTGTTCTAGATAGATATCAGATACTTTTCTACATAGTTTAGCCACATCACGAGGATGAACATCTTGACTCATAAAAATTTCTAATGATTTTTTATAATATGATAATGCAGTTTCAACATTATCTCTTACTCTCCATACATCACCAATATGAATATAAATTTCACCTCTTAATTTATTGTTATCATCTAATGATGAAAGTGCAATATCATAGTGAAATAAAGCATTATCATATTGAAAAAGATGAAAGTAATTATAACCAATCATAATGTTAAGAATAATACGTTTTGGATAATCAATAAATTTTTCATTGAATAAAAGTTCTTTGTAGTATTCTGTAACTTTTTCGTAATCACCTAAAATGCTAAATAGATAATATAAATTAACGCCGTACACATCTGTCATTATATCCTTCCATGAAGCTGATTTTTGTGTTAATATTTTATAATATTTTCCGAACAAAGTCCAATCATCTATTTTCATAAAAAAATGATGCCAACATGTTATAGAAGTGAACTGCTCTTTGATACCATCCATTAGTTGTTCCATCTGTTCGGCTGTTTCGTTACTTAGAGTAAGTTTAATAATCCATGTGGAATCATTTTCTTTTTGTACAGAATTAATACGAAAAACTGCACCGGCAAAGAATAAAATTTCTTCTTCATCTGACATTGAGCTAAACTGAGAAATATCAGCACGTGGATGAAGAATATTATCATTTGCACTTATAGTGTCAATTTCAAATATAATTCCAACTTCAGCACCAGATATATATTCACGCGCAACATGTTCATTACGTGATGTTGACATAATTGTATTTATTGATATTAGACATCCAATATTGGACTGTAAATTCTCTAAATCATTTTTACCGAGAATTTGTCCTCGATAAACAGTCGAATAATTTTCTTTTTGTTGTTTTATCGATAATTCCTTTAGTTTTTTATATAAGAGTATGATAAAATATCGAAATTTGCAAATTAAATCAATATTTCGCTTACGAAATGCTCTATTTATAAGTCGATAGACAAATGAATCTTGTGTATACCAATTTAATACATTATCGGATGTACACTCCTTATCGAATTTATTAATATAATTTAATTGAATTTGATTATTTGAATATTCTAGTTGACATTGTTCTATCATATTTTGTTTCAATCTATTCATATCTGTATCAGGAACATTAACAAGATAATAGATAAATGCTTGATTCCATAAAAGTGTATATTCATTTTTATCCAAACTCATTAAAGACTGTTCAGTTTTAATTTCATCTAAACACGAAATAGTTATTGGTAAATCATGTCTATATGTCAATAGAATATCATGACGTAA